TAGTTCCTCCAATGTGATCTTGTTCAGATCCTTAGCTAGCTTCAGAGAAGTGACCATAAGTCTCCATCTAATAGGCAAGCTTCTGATGATCTTCTTCACATGATCAACAGTTGAGTAGCCTTTGTCCAGCACTTTTAGACCAGCTGTGAGGATCTGGAATCTAGAAACATAGTTTCTATAGACTCAGATTCTTCCATTTTGAACGCTTCATACTTCTGTATTAGCGCCAAAGCCTAGGTCTCTTTAACTTGTAAGTTTCCTTCGCGTGTCATCTTCAAAGACTTAAACAAGTCAAATGCATTTTCTCTGTTGGTGATCTTCTCATACTCAGTATGAGATATTGCATTTAACAAGATTGTTCTAGCTTTGTGATGATTTCTAAACTCCTTCTTTTGGGCTTCAGTCATAGATTTTCTATCAATTTTCTTTCCATCCCCATCAGTGGGATGAACATACCCATCAATGACTAAGTCCCATAAATCAGCATCATAACCAAGGAAGAAACTTTCTATTCTGTCCTTCCAATAGTCAAATTTCTCCCCATCAAACATAGGGGGTTTTGTGCTGATTCTATCCCTTTCTTCATATCTGTTGTTGCTGTTAGATGTTGAAGTTTCAACCATAATAACAACCAAGAATATATATCAAAGTTTTCTCACTAGATCTTTTCTGTCACGGTGAAGTGGTAACACACACAGAACCAGAGCTCTGATGCCAACTGAAGGTGAGAAAATACTTAGAAGGGGGGGGGGTTGAATAAGTATATTGAAAATATCATGGCAATAAAAACTCAAAGATTTTTATCCTGGTTCGTTGAACTCAACTACTCCAGTCCACCCTATCAAGAGTGATTTGCCTTTCTCCACAAGGACTTAATCCACTATTAATCAAACTGATTACAATAGCAAGCACTAAGAGCAACTGTTCTTAGTCTTCTCAAGAACTACTGACCACAACTGGGTCTTCTCAAGGAACTTTTACAATCAAAAGTAAAACTAAACAAGTGTTTAAATGCTTCTAATAAAGCCATATCACAACTGTGATTTACACTTAAGTTTTAAGAACGTATGAAATAAATTCAGCAAAGAGAATAAATTGTATGGGAGCTTTTCTTTGAATTTCTTTCAATGATCGTCAACTGAAGAAGACAGTTGGAGACTTGCTTTTATAGGCACAGAAGTCCAAGACATTTGCACTTTGAAGACCGTGTACTGAAAAGAGTTGTAGCCTTTTTGTCTTCACATCACTTGACCTTTCCTAGAAGTAGAACGTTCAGAGAAATCCTTTTTGCCTGAGTTCTAGTGTCTAGCATAAATGAGGAAAGAGTCGTTTGACCTAACCAACATACATAACTTTGAATTCTTCTTCAACAAGTTTCTAATACTCGGCAATTAACATCAGAGCCTTGAGTGATCAGAGTCTTTGATGTTCATCAGAGTTTGCTGAATCAGAGTGTTGCAGCAAGTGTGCTTCAGCGTGTAATTTCATTAGAGCATAGTTTTAGGAATCAGATCCTCAGTACTTGCAGCCTACAGTACTACCAGAGTCTTCTGAAAAACTATGCTAGAAACTCTTCATACAAAGTCTTCAATGCTTCAGATGCTTCTGTAGCTTCTGCTTCATATCCTTTTGTAGGCAGCGCTCAGAATCTTCTGTAGGCAGCGTTCAGATTTTTCTAAGAGATGCTTCTGACGCTTCAGAGCCTTGCATAATTTAACGTTCAGATCCAATTTGCTTTCAGAATAATATTAACTTTAATATCTGCAACAAATATACTTAAACAAATTTTAGAGTTTATAATTTCTTAATACAAAATTTTGTAAGAGTTATCATCAAAACATAGAGATATAATTAAGAACCAATCTGTGTTCTAACATTTTTCGCGTTTTACTCAAAGTCGAAGAGAAAGCTTGCCAAACATAAAAAGGGAGAATGTAGTTGCATGTCCCTAATACATTAAAGGGGAGTACCCTAGTAAAATTATTTTATTGCTTGTCTAATCGCTTTCATTTTATTTACTTTTAATTATTGAGTCTCCTTCATAATTGCACCTCTCTGGATCAAGTTTTAAAATAATTCGTTTTTAACATGCATAAACCATTGGCTCGGTTTGAACTTTCTCATGGTGCTTTTAATCAATTGCATGAGTCAGTGGCATAAGAGCCATATATGTTATTGATTCAAGTTAGGTGGAAAGAAAAATCTCAAAGTCTTTTGGAAACTATGAAAAATTGGGATTTTAGGTGTTTGATTTGAATCAAGTACAACTCCTGCTTTGAATCATTATGGACAGAAATAAACAAGAAATTTTCAAACAATTTGATATAAATCAAATTTTACACATGATTTGAATCATCAAACTCTGGGTCGCCTCTGCCACAACTGATTCGAATCAAACTTTACATCTTATTCGAATCATACAATTTTCCATATTTTCTAGTTAGCTCATTCTGTTTGATTCGAATAATATTTAACACATAATTTGAATCACAGGGTCTTTGATTTGAATCACACTTTCCTCTCGATTCGAATCAACTAAAAAATGGGCCAAAACTCTGTTTTTCTTTTATTCCACTTTAATTGTTCATTTGATTCAAATCATTGAATGCTTTTGATTCAAATTTAACTACCTTTTTCATCTATTTTTTGTGCTTAATCTCAAGCAAATAGAAAATATTTTTGTCATAATTTCTCATGTAACGAGTCAACAAATTCATGTGCATTTTTGTGTGATTTTGTGAAAAATCAATAACCTCTGTTTTTGAAAGGTCAAAGTTCTTGCAACAAAATTCTGACATCTTTAACTTCAGTTTGATTCAAGTCTTGATAACGAGAGATTTGTAATTAATTTAAGGAGGCTTGCTCTTGAAACTAATTGTTCTTGAATATTTGATTGACATTTTCCATGTAATTTGCAAGATTAAGGTGATTGCCAGTGGTGCTGACAAATTCCATTGAAAAAAAGTAATTTTTCCTCTCTAGATTTCATTAGTAGTGTCTGTATGGAAGACTACGAATAATGCAGAGTTCTTCTTAAACCTTCAGACATTTTATTGCTCAACGAATTGATAGGACCAAAGGGTTGATTGCTACATACGAAGGCTTGGAGCAAATTGGCGATATTGGAAGATTCAAGAAGCAATAATCGAGTAAAAATTACATAGAAGAATTTGAAATTAAGCTATATACAAGTCAAGTTCTAGATATGATATTTTATTTTTCTCAGCATTATTGTGGATTGGTGATTATATGAACTCTTGTAAATATTTGTCAAATAAAAAGGAGCAATGTCGAGCATCTCACGTGGAGATATATCAGAAAGATCTGCATTCACTCGAAGACACTTAATTAGCGCAAACTTTACTTCATAGGGAAACCCCTGTCCTATCTTCACCTATCGGGATGGATTATCATCAAGATGAACAACTTCAAAATCGTCGTTCAACATAAACCTAACATAATCTTCGCACACATTTATAATCGAACATATCGACTTTTTAAGGACTTTCTCTCGTCACCGCTGAAGACGCAATGAGATCTTTAAGGATGGCCTATTTGATACACCTTGCCTCTTCAAGATCGACATTAATTATGATTGGCTTTCCTTCATTGCTCTGATTCGTCACCTTTAGGTGGACTGACGAAGCCACAACATCTAACTTTGGCAAGAAGGATCTCTCAAAGATACCACTAAAGGTGCTTGCTCCTACATTAAATTATTAAATTATTAGGAAGTCGAGGGTTACCTTTCTCTCGCTTGACCCTTCTCTTAGTGACAATGTCAGATCTGTTATTATGCAAGGGCAAGTTATCAAATCGATGCAGTTCAATAAATTTCCTCCGATATATGGACTCATATATAGTTGGTAGATACCTGATTGCTCTAGTGTGTCGGTGTAGAGGATGTTACATGATCTCCCGTCGTCTACGAGGAATCATGTGAAAGTGCAATCAACGATGGTGACCATTGTGACTAGTTTCGGGGCTCCGTTTATCTTCTCGTGATCTAGGAATCCTATTGCCAGTCGATCTTCACTTTGCGGTCTAGTATTAACTGTTGTTTAAAAGAGGTGTTTTAGTGACAAATCTACACTGAATGTCACTACATTACGAATCTCATTAATGATCGATAATTAGGATGGATTGGGATCAAAAGATTTAATAAAGCTCTTCAATTCAATGTGTGAGGCGACTGTCTCTATCAAAAGATCATAATTGGTGTTAACCAAAAATAGACTATATATATATATATATATATATATATATATATATATATATATATATATATATATATATATATATATATATATATATATATATATATATATATATATATATATATATATATATATATATATATATATATATATATATATATATATATATATATATATATATATTGAATAATCTTCGTTGAGCTTGTGTCTTTGTCCGACCAAAAACATATGCGATTTTAACTCTTTATAAAACTATTTTTTTAATATTTTAATTTTTTTTATAAAATTAATTTTTAAAATATATGATAGAGTAGTGTGCTATGTGTGAATGAATTGTTGCATATGAATATATATCAAGACTGAACTCACCACTCAAAAGCTTTTATTTTTCCCCTTCTCTTCGGAGAAGAGAAGAGAGAAAAGAATCACATTATCTCTCCTCTACACATATTACCCAAAACAAAATCAAAGCTCAATCCACGTCATCCTCTTCTTCTTAACCTTTCTCTTCCACCATTGCTGAAACATCCTCTGCATTTTCTCCACGCATTTCTCTCTGATCATCTCCGCTCCCAATTCAATCCAATTCCACGATCTTCCCTCTCTTCTAGGGTTCTCCCCGCTTTCTCCCTGAGGTAACGTTCTTCCCTTTCACACAATCCTTATTTTATTTTGCGACATTTCGTTTTTCCTATTCCGCATTCATATCGCATGATATCACTCATTGTATTGATTTTGTGTAATGCTACGATCATCGTTGTAGGTTTACGTTTTCCCCTCTCAATGACACGCTCTACTGGAAGTGGTAGAATGGAGGCTATGCCAAGGCCTATGGCCGCTGGAGGTTCCTCTCAAACTGTAGCAGGTATTGCCTCTTAGATTTTCTCAGTGTGATGTATTATTATTATTATTCTGACATTGTTTGTGAAATTAAATCATTTAATATTATTTAGGTTTGAATATGATTTTAGTCCCCAAATATACTGTTGTTTTTACTTTTAGTCATTTCAAAGTATATACTTTTAGTTTTTGGTCTTTGATATTTTATTTTAGTCTATGCCAAATTTGTTCATATTATAATTATAATTGAGCATTGTAATAATCATTTTAATCTTTAATTTTTAAGGGATTAAAATCAAATCGTGTAGTTAATATAAGGATCAATTTTAATAGTATAAGGATCAAATTTAGATTTGAATAAATGGCAGGGAGTTATATTTGTAAGGACTAAAAGCAAAAAATATTTTTACAGGGATTAAAATCTAGACTCTTGCTTTAGGAATATATTTAAGGGTATTATTTATTATTAACATATGTTTATCAAGATGTAATTCTGTTTATGTTTTTAATTTATGGAAGTTAATTTTCAAATTTTGATTCGTATAATTTGTTTGTGCATGGCCTTAGAAGATGACAATGCCTGGCAGAAATCAGCTGCTGCGTATACTTATAAACAACTGCGTGAGGCAGATGAAGCAAATTTGCTTAGTGAAGAAGGTTGTGTTTCTTGCTCTCTTTCTCTTTGGTGAATAGTCTCCATTGGATATTAATTTGTTGTTCTTTCTTAAATTTTATTTAATTCAGGGTTTTGATTTTTAGCAGAATGAATGTGAATATTACTAAATTTTCTTTTGTGTTGTTTTATTTTTTTTGTTATGGGGTAGTTTAAGACTACAAATTCCGGTACAATCTATTATATTTTGATATTTAAACTGCTGCTTACATTTTCTATATTACAGATATGCATGTTTATGGTGAGAGACCCATGACTGATCCCTTGAAGCTGGTAAGGTTTGCTTTCTTTCTATACCTTTTTTTGTGTGCTAATTTAGTAATATTATTAATGTGCTTCTTCCCAAGGGCCTTCGTTGAACCTTTCACATGGTTTCCTTATGCTCATGAATTAGGATACCTTAAGTTGAACATTTCAGTTTAGTAATTTAATATAATGATTTTTTCATTAGGTTTTGTTTTAAATTCTATCCATCACTATATGGCCTATTTGCAGTGAATAAGATGATTATATAGCTGGTGTTGTGTGATTGTGCAATGTATGAGTTGAAGCAGAGTACATACCTTATCTTAGAATTTTTAGATACAGTTTGATTTTGAGTCATTACCCTAGCTTGGCATATAAGTGAACTCTTTAAATATTTTGTGAGATTATACAATTATTTTATTTGTAATCCTTGATTTAATCTGTAATTGATTTCTTAAGTTTAAGATGTCCAGTAGGCATTCTTGGCCGTAGCCTTTCAACCTTTTGCTTGATTTTTACTTTGAATGTTTCTCTAATATGCAACTGCTAAATGTAGAGTTGAGTGTTATTTTGTGCGGATGCATTTTGGTTTTATTTCTGTTCAAAAGCATCAGTGAACTTAACCTTCTTACATACTAAAAGGACTCATGCAATAGGTTGTTGGAAGCAACTTCTGTTTTATAGTTACTTTCTAAATTGTGGAATTTCTTCGTCTGCATATATTATCTACATGAAATATAATCTTGAATCAATTCATTTAACTAATTCTTTGTATCCTTTTTGAGGTACGATGCAAAACTTGCAAGAAACCAATCAAGGAAAGCCAATTTGCTGCTCATGCAGGTCTGGTAGCCTTTCTTTTACTTGTTTTATAACTTGTTGGTCCTTATTTGTGTGATATTTGAGGTTTACAATGGATTACTGCATGGCTGTCTCATAGTATTTGTTAAGAGTTCCACATCGGACAATATATGACATGAACATGTGTTTATAAGTGGGGTAATCCTCACTCTACCAACCGGTTTTGTAGGGTTGAGTTAGACCCAACCACATTTCTTAACATGGTATCAAGAACCTCGTTTAAGATCCGGTGGGTCACCTTCTATGGTTTCCGCTATCGGGCCACCCACCATTTATTTCCACGCTTCAATTGTCCAGTCCTGAGCGTGAGGGGGTGTGTTAAGAGTCTCACATCGGACAATATATAGCATGAACATGTGTTTATAAGTGGGGGTAATCCTCACTCTACCAACCGGTTTTGTAGGGTTGAGTTAGACCCAACCACATTTCTTAACCCAACCATATTTCTTAACAGTATTTTTATTTCCCCTTGCTTTGGAAGGTACTAAACATTGAATCTTCCTCATTTTTACCTCTTTATTTTTCTCCATTTTATCAGAACTTTGTAGATCATTAAAGCTCACAGAACAAACTGGGCTGGAGTTTAATCGCAACACAAGGAATCGAAAACCTCCAAGGAATGATAAGAAAAAGTTATCGGCTTCATCTGCAGGTATCCATAAAATGCTAATTAATTAGTCGCCTGCCATGTTTTGATGATAGTATTACTACATTATAATAATCACAAATTTTGAAATTTGTAGTTATGATTTTTCGATTGTGATTTCCTCTTTAATGGAAGTTGTTTTGTTTTTCTGAATGCATCTTAGTGATAGGTTCTTGTAAAATAAATTTTCGAGCCTTGTAACCCTTCATAATCAATTACTGCAGCTGGGAAGCGGAAAAAGTCTGAGTCGTTGGATAATATTGACACTGTTGTGTCACAGTCCCACATGAACAGTCAAATCAGAGGGACTTCATTTTCAAATGATGTTAAAGGTAAAAGTTTTCTCGTTTAGTGCAATAAGTTGACATAAATCTTTGGCCCTCACTTCTCTTAACCAAAATTCCTATTTGAAGAAATTTTCCGAAGGTTTAATTAATTTGTTAATTTATTGTTCGACAAATAAATTCCTATTTGAAGAAATTTTTGGAGCTTGTAACCCTTCATAATTAATTACTGCAGCTAGGAAGCGGAGAAAGTCTGAGTCTTTGGATAATATTGACACTGTTGTGTCACAGTCCCACTTGAACAGTCAAATCAGACGGACTTCCTTTTCAAATGATGTTAAAGGTAAAAGTTTTCTCGTTTAGTACAATAAGTTGACATCAATCTTTGGCCCTCATTTCTCTAAACCAAAATTCCTATTTGAAGAAATTTTTCGAAGATTTAATTAATTTGTCAATTTATTGTTGGACAAATAATTGCTTCTTGGTGTTATTCAGAATTCTCAGTCAACTAATGTGAATTCATTAACTTCTTGTGTTGGCTTTCACTCCGAACACCCTCCCCGGGGTTGGTCTATTGGTGAAGCCTTGAGATCTGAGAGTGTGCTCCTCTCAAGGTCTCAGGTTTGAATCCCACCAGATGTCAGCAATTCCTATGATGGGTCAGTCCATTCGGGTCCCCCACAAGTGGACGGTGGGATTCGTCACCCTTGGATTAGTCGGTCCTAGGGCCTTGCCCTGATGGTAATTTTTATCAAACTAAAATCAGTCTCTATTAGCTTATAAAAATTTAAAAAGCCTCTCCCCTATTATTATACATGTGTGCTCCTGAAAAGTTATGTCATGCTCTTGTTCTGCGGCATAGGCCGAGTTATAACTCATAGAATAATAAAAGTTTACAACTCTAGGTATTAAAATTGAGTTAAATTGCTCACTCAATAATTTCTATGTAAACTCAAATCTATAAATGCAGCCAAGATTTCAATTTGAACCCAGCTGCAGTGGAAATGAGTGTCGCTGTTTTGAGTCTCAATGATAGTATTATACCTCTCATTAAGAAAAACTGTCTGCTATGATTTTTAACTGGCAGTTATATTATTAGGAGTAGCTTAGTGGCAGTTATTATATTTTTAGGGGTAGTTTAGTGGGCAGTTATTATATTATTAGGAGCAGTAACGTTTTATTAATTGTGTGTATATTTAGAATAAAAAGGAGAAGATATGGGATAGTTTATAATATCGGGAAGTTATTTAGTGGTTACTGGGAGAGACGAACATTTGGGATGGGAGAGATCCAAACTGATCCATGTCTTTCTATGTTTGTACTTTGTGCTAGTTTTCTATTAATTTGTAAATGTGAATTGCAACTCTGTTCCAGAGTAGTTGTTGAATTAATATACAGAAAATTGTCCCACAACTTCCCTGTTTTGGATGTTCTGATCAATTTGAATTCTCAACTTTTGTAGATGCGGTAGCTTCTTTGTTGGATGATTCTGGAGTTAGTTCTGGAAATAGAGTTCTCCAAGCTTCAGTAATGTATCCTCCCACAAAACATCATAAATTGTATGCTTTCTTAGTTCATCCAGATGTATCTTGTAGTTTGAATAATTTTAATAGCAATAGAAAATGAATTCAAATTATTTTATCCTGTTGAATACCTGCACTTCTTTCCCTTCCATTTAAAAGTATTTACTATTTTATATCGAAAACTATAGGCAAAGCTAGCTAGATGTTTCTCAATAATAAAGTATTTGGGCTTGGGCTCAAAGTGATCATTAATAATTTGTTCCCAGGATATTTCCATGATAATCTTGATTACTATGGAGTTATTTTTGGAATTCAATTGACTTGCACCTAATTTTCATTGATTTGGAAAAGGCGTATGATTATGCCCTAAGAGGTTTTGTAGAAAGTCTTAGAGAAGAAAGGGGTTAGGATTGTCTATATTCGAGCTATCCAAGATATGTATGAAGGGGTATCAACTAGTGTGGAGACACTGAGGGGAGAGACAGGCGACTTTCTCATTACAATAGGATTGCAAAAAGGTTCAACCCTAAGCCCCAGCCTTTTGACCTTAATTTTGGATGTACTCACGGAACACATCCAAGAATTAGCACTGAAATGTATACTTTTTTGAGATGATATAGTCCTACTCAAGGAGTCGGAAGTAGGATTTAAATGAGAGGTTTGAGACTTGGAGACGAGACTTAGAAACACATGGATTTCGCTTAAGCAGAAGTAAGACAGATGGAATGTAAGTTCAGTAAAAGAAGAAGTGTTTCTAACTTAGTGGTGAAAGTTGGAGATCATATCATTCCACAAGTCAGGCGGTTTAAATATCTTGACTCCATAATACAAAATGATGGAGAAATAGAAGAGATGTAAACTCCTGAATTTAAGTCGGGTGGCTAAATTTGAGGAGAGCCTCAGAGATTTTATGTGATAGAAAAGTACTTCTGAAGGAAATTTTTTATCGGACAACGGTAAGACTTGCGATGTTGTATAGGACAAAATATTGGGTAGTTAAGAAAAAACGAGAATAAAGTAATTTCAACAAAAATAAGGATGTTGTGTTGGATGTGTGGCTGAGATTAAATAATATAAGATTAGAAATGATAATATTAGAGAGGGTGTTGAGGTAACACCTATAATAGAAAAGATGGTGGAAAATAAACTTAGATGGTCTGAGTATGTAGAGAGAAGACCTGTAAATTTTGTTGTAAGGAGAGTAGATCAGATGGAGAGGAGTCAAACAACTAGAGGTAGAGAAAGACCTAGAAAAGTTATAGGAAAAACTATTAAAAAAAGATTTTGAGATTAACGAATTTGATAGAAACATGATATTGAATAGAACATTATAGCGAAATTGGATCCATGTAGCTGACCCCACTTTGTGTGATTAGACTTGATCGTTGTTGTATAATGTTTCTTCAATTTCTTCTTTCCGTTTTCAAGTAAATTTGTTCTGAATGTATAATGTCTGACGCAGGAAGACAAGCACACATATATCTGTAATAGATGAGCATGGAACAGAGTCTGGAGTGTCAAAAGCTGCGAGTTTAACAAATGGAACCACTCGTAAGTGTTGTGTGCTGAAGTCATTTGTTCTTGTGGGACTCGCCCGGACTGGATGAATGTTTTCTATAGATTTTAGCTAATGAATTGTCATTTGAAGAAATAATTGCTGTACTTGAAATAAAATTATTAACTTTTTTATTCACCATATCTCATTGTTTTTTACATGCTAAAACACAGGCTTGTATTTTCAAAACATAGCATGCAAGCTTTAGACACATTTCATGCCAGGAATTTCTTAAATATGAATAATAACTAAGAGGTAATATTAAAATTAAAATTTACTTTTCAAGAAAGTAATATTTTTATGAGTTTGATCAAATCAAGTTGTTCAGCATTCATAAATTTAAAATTGCTTCTAAGCATGTTTCTTTCCATGCGTTCCCAAAGTTGCAAATTTTCAATAAATTTATCCATGACAATGTGAAAATTGAGTTAAAATTTTAAGAATTAGAGATTAGTTTCGTACTTGTAAAATTCTTCATTTCTGGACACCGAAGCATATATACAAAGTTTTATTGAGAAACTACTTGAACATATACATGTCTTGCTGTCCTAGAAAGCCACAGAACATTCTTGTGTGACAAACACTGTAAGCGTAACTGATGGAATTACTTGCGAGTGTCCTATTTTGTGTGCTGAAGTCATGCTATTGATTCACCACCATGAACTTTTTCTAGAAGAATTGGCTAATGGCATGATAGCTCAGATTTACAAAAAAATCATTAACTTTTTTCTATCATATCTCTGTAAGATTGTTTTCTTTATAAAATGGTTTGGTGTATCTCACAAAATTGTTTTCAGGAGTCTTACTTTCTTGGTGCTGTCTTTCTTATGCATAAATATTGATGTTCTGATCAATTTGAATTCTCAACTTTTATAGATGCAGCGCCGACATCTATGTTGGATGATACTGGAGTTAATAGTGGGAATAGAGTTCTCCAAGCTTCAGTAATGTATCCTCCAACAAAACGACATAAATTGTACGTTTTCTTTGTTCATCCAGATATATCCTGCAGTTGGAATAATTTTAATAGCAATAGAAAATGAATTCAAATTCGAATTCTTTTATCTTGTTGAATATCTGCATTTCTTTCTTCTACCTTTAAAAATAATTTACTATTATATTGAAAATTATTGGCAAAGCTAGTAAGAAGTTTCTTCTTAATCAAGTCTTTGAGCTTGGGCTCAAAGTGATAATCATTTGCTCCCAGGATATTTCCATAATAATCTTGAGTATTACTATGGAGTTATATTTGGAGTTCAATGTTTCTTCTTTCCGTTTTCAAGTAAACTTGTTCTGAATCTGTAGTGTCTGATACAGGATGGCAAGCACACACATAGCTGTATTAGAAGAGCGTGGAACAGAGTCTGGAGTGTTAAAAGCTGCAAGTTTAACAAATGGAACCACTCGTAAGTATCCCAAAGTTTGTGTGCTGAAGTCACGTGTTATTGCTGGACTCACCAAAATGAAATTTTTCTAATAGATTTTGGCTATTGAATTATCACTTGAAGAAATAATTGCTGTTCTTTAAGTACAAAAATTATTAACTTTTTCCCCGCCATATCTCATTGTTTAAGACATGCTAAAACATGGGCACATGCAATACTTTGAACACATGTCAAATCCATAGCGTCAAATATGAAAATTGAGTTTAAGATTGGATACAAGCATTTCCTCTACATGTGGGCCCAAAGTTGTTATTCCCCAATAAATGTATCCATAGTGTCAAATATGAAAATTGAGTTTAAAAGAAAAATATTAGTTCTGTACTTATTAAGTTCTCATAATCTGGACACTGAAAGATATTTAATTTTTTTTGTTGAGAAACTACTTCGAAACTGTTTCATTGTTTTTTTCCATGCATGGCCAAGAGCCCCCTTTGTTGATTGTTTTAGCAAATGAATTCTGATCTTCCAGAGCTTTTTGATGATGTTATATAAATTTTTTTGTTTGCAATTGTATTTTTGTTAACTTTATCTGTATGTATGCACAGTGCGCACCTTGTTTTTTTAGCTGAGTTTGTTATATCTTTTGGGGTTTTGGGTCCATGGAAAGAATAACCACAATTCTTCTTCCTGATTCCATTTAGGGAAAGATATGACTGAAGAGATTGTATCGGAACATGGAGATCCTTTCCATAAAAATGGTCAGCAGGTCCATATGCAACACCAACACATGAAGAATAATGGTATAAAAACCAAGATCTTTTTCAGTTAAACAAGTCTTAACCCTATTTGCAACTCTTGTGGAATGAAAGCTCGTTCCTCAAATACTTATTTCCTTCAGTTCTTCAGTTTTGAGTAGTTCTAATATGATTTTTCACTCTCTGGTGTTGGTTCAACACTTGCATGTTTTTTTGCTAGTTTAGATTTTCCTGCACCCCTTGCTACGAAGATATATTATTCTCAAAGGACTAATCGACTGCGTGCTGCTATTCGTCATATGTACTTTGAGAACCTGAGCGAGGAAGTACGTGCCGATGTTGAGTGTCCAAAGACATCAAATGAAGAGATGGTTGCATTGCAAGGTTTGTCTCAGGTGGACCCTTCATTTGAGCAAATGGACAATGTGGTCAACAAGGAGGTGATTTGTGTTTAGATTTTTAGTCTTGCAACCTATGTTACATATCTTGTATGTAGTTCTGCTGGAAGGCTACAACTTTCTATTTGAATTTTAAAAGAATTGCATGTCATTCCTTCTCTCCTTTCCACTTAAAAAAATTAAGTTCCATACAAATGACCCAAAACTGACTCATTATTTATTTGTAAAACAGAGCCACTCCGGAATGATGTACACCAAAAATTCTGATGATATTCTTGCAAAACGCTCAGAAGTTTGCTTGCTTAAAGCAGGAGGCGTGCCTAGTGATGGCTTGTCAAATCAGTTTTTTCTTGACAACGTTTCAAGGTCTGCAGCTACTCATGTTGGTTTAACTAGAGGCAGTTTTCTTCCAAAGGCTTATTCTTTTCCAAGCAACGCAGGTAAATGATATGGATGCATTTGTTGGAAAACAGTATATCAGTGAAGGAAGATCTCTAATTCTTCTGATTAGAATTAGTTATGCAGATTAGGACTTATTATTTTATTTATATTTGTTTTTTAATAAGTTTTTAGATTTGAATTTCAGTATTTTTAGGATAAAATTTTAGAATATAACAGATTTTCTTATTAAGTGGGGTATTATCATTTAAATTTAAATGATACTAGTAACTTTATGGAAAAGTTAATAATCAGAACTCCTTTTCTACCGTAGGCCTATTTAAAGGCATTCAGAAAAGGAAGATCTCTTGTTTTGCTGATTAGGATTGGTTATGCCGATTAGAATTTATTATTTTTATTAAGTTAGGCTAACAAAATTTGTAAATTTGAATTTCAGTATTTTTAGGGTAATATTTAGGGTTAGAATAGATATTTTCTATTAAATAGGATATTATCATTTAAATGATATTAATTTTAGAAAAAAGTGGATTATTTGCCTAATAAATCAGACTCTTATTCTACTATAAGCCTGCCTATTTAAAGGCATACAAATTAGGAATAAAATTCATAAATAATTATTATTAAAAAACTTGTGAATTCAAGAAGAGACTCTCAAGGACGAGTCCACTTCTGCCTTTCCCATATGTTGAAGGAAAGGTTCTACTGTTCTAAGAGTGAGTCAACGCAAACATTCCTAACCAACGACCATAACAATTTGGTATCACGAGCCAACATGGTGACGTGAATTTAGCATTAATCATGAAGACTTTCATTGAATAGATTACGGCCCGACAATCTTTTCTAGAAGCGCAAATGCTAACCTCTTCAGGATACTTCAAGGAGTGAATAAAGGTTCTAGAAAAGACAATTCTAGATATGCAAAAACAACTCAGATGAGGGGAGACTTGATTCTCCGATATTCCAAAATGGAATTTCCCACTAATGATGGAACATGCAATGTAGTTAAAATCGAGATTTTACGCAAAATCGGAAAAGAGAAGTACTATCGTAAATCGTGGAATCCTAACACATTGTAATTTTATACAAAATTCTAAACCCTGTATATATACATATAAAATGACATTAGTAAGAAAAAGAAAACCTTAAATCATTTATAAAACCTTAAATCATTTGAAATACTTGTGTAAATTTAAATTCATAACTCATAATTAAAATCTTAAATTACACTTCAAATATTTATATAAATTTAAATTCATTTATAAGCATGATCACATCAACACTTCAAAGATTGTAAGATTACACGATTCAAAGATTAACAATAGGTAGGCTTGGTAATGAGTCGAGCTGAGCCAAACTTAGTTTAGTTTGACTTGACTCAATAAGAATTGGATTAACTTGAAACTCGAATTCCTCACAAACTTTTTTCAAATTCAAACTCGACTCGACTAAAGTTAACGAACAACTCGGTTCAGTTCATTAGCTTGGACTCGGTCCGACTTGATAACTCGAATTAAATAGACCAAAAAAATTAATTGAAAAAAACTAAAATTTTAACTAAAGGCCATATGATTTATATTTGACTCGATGATCAATTTTCGTAACAAAGATAACTTCTCAAAATTCTTGGATGTATCTCATAAGTGTTGGAGCACTCTAATATATATGAGAAGAGGAGAGTATAAGAAAGTCTAGCTGCTTCATGAACTAAAATAGTCGAACTACTATATATAGCTCAAGTTCAACTCGTTAATTTACGAACTTAATTTTAAACTCAAGTTTGATTCATGAACCAAGTTCAATGAGTTAATTATCAAATTGAGTCTCAAACTATTTTCGAGTTAGTTCGGTTCATTATTAGTCTAAGAGAAGAAATTCTACTTGATTCTACCAAATTAGGATTGTGTATACTCATAATCAATGAGGGTAATCATAATCGCAAAATTGTGGGATTTTACGATTCAAATTGGAATTTTTCTACCATAAGAACAAGGGACTCATTGGGGTGGTTGAAGCGCTAAGACAGTTTTTATATAAACGAAGGATAGATGAAAGAGACAAAGTTGGTTTAGTAGCGTTTCGTTTCATTTAATAGGAGAAGTGCAATTATAGTTAGATCAAACGGAAGAAGAACCTGAAATAATGTGTGAACTCTTTAAGGAATGTTGCCATATACGGTTTGGACCACCAATGAGCAATAATCCATTGAGAGATCTCGCCAACCTCGAGCAAACTAAATTCATGGAAGATTGTCAATGCCAATTTCAATCTTTGTTTGCCATAACCCATGATCTTAAGCCTAGACAACAAGTGGACATATTTATTGATGGACCAATAATCTATGACTTGAGGATAGACATTGAACTTTACCAACCAAAAAATCTAGGAGTTGCTTTGAATATGGCTCGAGCATTTGAACACCAACTACGCCAACTGAAGTGCTCACAAGGAATGCTTACAACATAGGATAGTATGAGTAGAACGTTCCATAATGGTTGTCATGCTATCCCAAACCACTATTTTGTAGTATGTTGGAATTTCCAACTTCATTGCGGTCTGCCCTAGTCGCTTAAATTGGGGCATTTGGCTTGCCTTCATTGTAGCCTCCAACACCTTCATTGTGTTGGGTTTGAAGGGGTGAATTTAATCTCACATTGCTTAGATATATGACCTGTGTTATGTTTTTAAGTGAGAGCAATTCTCACCCTACAAGCCGGTTTTGTAGGGATGAGTTAGGCTCAACCCACACATTCTAAGATGGTATTAGAACCTATCCTAGATCACTTGTTAGGCTTCCCACATCATCCACACTTCGGCCTCATTGAGGTCCGAGTGTGAGGGAGGTGTGTTGGAATTTCCGCCTTCATTGTGGTCCTCCCCTAGTCGCCTAAATTGTGGCATTTAGCTTGTCTTCGTTGTAGCCTCCAACATCTTTATTGTGTTTGGTTTGAAGGGGTGAATTTAGTCCCACATTGCTCAGAGATATGCTCTGTGTTGTGTTTATAAGTGGGGGCAATTCTCACCTTACAAGTCGTTTTTGTAGGGAATGAGTTAGACTCAACTCACATATTTTAAGACAATTTTAAGACAATCTATTAAATAGAGGAAGTAGAGAATCCTTAGTCCCATGGGAAGGATATACTTCAGAAGATGCACGTGGGAACTCTTTTGATAAGTTTTGCAAGGCTTATCCCAAATTTGAGCTTGAGGACACGCTCAATGCCGAAAGAGGAATATGGATGCATTTGTGGGAAATCAATATCAAAAAAGGAAGATCTTTAATTCTGCTGATTAGTATTAGTTATAATGATTAGAATTTATTATATTATTTATTTTAACTATTAAGCATAACATAATTTTTAAATGAGTTTGGGTGTATTTAGGATAAGATTTAAGGTTAGAACAATTTTTTTTCTATTAAATAGAATATTATCATTTAAATTTAAATGATAATAATGTTAGGAAAAAGTTATATATTAATCTAATAATCCGCCGGACTCTTTCTCCTAGTAGAAGCTTCTTTTAAGCCATTTAGGTTGAGAATAAAAATCATCAGTAATTATTATTAAAAAACCTTTGAATTTAAGAAGAGAGTATGTCAAGGTCGAGTCCACTTCTGATTTTTTTTACCACAGGTCGAAGGAAAGGTTCTACTGTCTGCAGGACTGTAACTCGATCCCAATCCAAAAACCATAACTGTAATATGTTATTTATATTCTATTTTGGTTTAGATACTATACTAAGCCAGCATGTGGCAAGGATAGTATATGCTAAATTAAGAAAATTCAGAAATCATTAAATGAATGTCTCTGCTGGTGGCTTTCCCGGCATTTTGATGCTTCCGTACTATGATACAATTAATTGTTAAGTGCATGCTTTGAAAAGAGGCAACCAGAAATGTGTTAGACCTTAAGAATTATCAGGAACCAAGACGGAATGTGGTTGTTCTATTCTATCAGACAGTTATTGTTTCATTAGCAGTTACTGTTTTTAATATTAACATTAGGAGCAATTATTGAGTAGTTATTTGGAGTGAATAAAATGAGGAAATTGTTGGTTAGATGGATTATCCGGGAAATTAGAAGTGGTTATTTGGAAGGGACAGACCAAGCTCTCGAATCTTGGAGGGGAGAGGCCAAGAGTCAATTTTTAGATTGGAGTCTTTTATCTTTTATTCTATTTATGTCAAGATTGTGAGTGTTGTGCGCCTTTCTATTGAACTGCCTATTCTATCATCAATAACAGTAAATTATTTCTATTATATTTCTCTATATGGTACCGATTTCCATCAAGATGTTACAATGAATTTTAGTTTTTGCATTAGGCTATTATGATTTATGAGTATGTGAATAAGTTTCCAATAAGCATGATGTGTTTGTTTTGTAGGGAATCGCCTGGAAACCCTGCAACAGCCAAATGGGAGTGTTCCTGTTATCTAGTACCCTTGGTTCGAAAATTTTGGATAGGTGAATGTACAGGTAACCAGTAAATTGAAGTTAGGCTAGCTCCTTTTTTGAAGCTTATAAAGCACATTAGTCAAATTGTTTATTTGTAAATGAAAACTTCCATTATATAACGTATGAAAATGAAGGAAATTTTCAGTTTATGTTCGAATTTCATCTTTTTATTGCTGCCTCCGGCAAGCAAGGGTACTTTATCTTCTCTTTAGCTATTCTTAACTATATACCAATTGTCAAAGAATAGTAGATGGATATAGAGGTTTGGGTTCAATTGTCAATATGATCAAAGTTATTGTTAGAGTTGGATTAATTCATACTTGTAAATTTGTATCTCTAGTTTTTTCACAATGTATTCTTAACATAACCTACATTATGTGATTTAACCCCGGATCACAGGATTATTAAATACTATGTTAGTTCTATTACAAATTATATGTTGCCTTTTTTAAGATTCTGAAAATCATATCCCTAGTGTACACAGTCGAGCAGAAGGATCTCTCTGAACAAACATGTGTCTTTTTAAGATTGTGGACAGGTATGGATAGTGATTATTGTTTGTAAATGCAGATTATCCATATCTAGTAAAGAATACGTTCGTATAGTTAGATCCTAACCTTATCTTAAGTGCTTAATTAAGCTGTTTAACAATCATTTTATCAGCTTCAAAAGTATTTGCCATTAGGTTTTACTCCTTTACTTAACGATAAACACTTATTTATCATGAATACTTATTTCTTTTCACACACTGTTCGAGTAGATATTTTAATTAATTGTCTACTGTTTATTGAATATGTACTTACAAGTATTATTATGTAAGCACTCATGTTTATGTTATTTTGTACAGTAAAAAGAGAATGTGGTGAAACCGATGTTTAATAGTTATCATATTTTTTATAAATTCTTTTAGACAATAATACTGTGTGTCAATGAAGGTTGACTCAATTGAAAGTTAATTCATAAGAAAGGTATTGAGTTCAATTCCTATTTTGATATGAGACGACGAGTTTTTTTAGTAGAGAATCTATAAATATTTTTATGTTTATTGAATTTTGAGGGCTGCGTGAGTGATGAGTATTTATGTTGAAAACATACTCTTGAATGCTTTGAATATCTTCAATAATTTCATCACCTAATAATCATGTTTGGAAGGATGTGGGAATTAGTGCTCCAATTCAATTTGTGATCATGTTTTTTTTCCACTTTTTAATTTTGGGAAAGGGTATTTGGTATGGTAGTCGTCAAGAACAATTATAATTTCATTGTTTTGTTAGTGGCCTTGAGCATCTGTGATAGTACTAACAATGGTCAAGGCCAGCTTTTTGTCGCTTGTGGGGGGAAATTTTGGTGATATTTGTTCAGTCTTTTTAAATATCTGAACGGCTAAAGCAGTTTATTCCTTTATTCCATCTGAAATAAAAAAATACCAATAAAAATGGCGTCATACCCAAACATGATGACACGGACGAAATTGCTATGGGTTTTATTAGAAAAATATCTTCGCTCTCACGAAAGATATTTGTTTTTTTTTAATGATGAGATTACGAAAGATATTTGTTTATTGGAGAATTAAAAGGTGCCATTTGTTTTGTTTATTGGAATTAAAAGGTATAAACTGTTGTGATAAAAATCTACCACTGCTGTACAAAATTCTACTATTTTCTTATGATGATAGCTCACTCTTGTATAATTATTTGAAAATGAAAGTGTAACATGCTATTGCTATTATGCATATGTATGATTATTGTACTCGGAACAAATATTCTTACTGTGACAAATTGTCCGTGGATTTAAAACCGTCATGGCGGATATTGTACTTTTAAAGCATAAAAATATAAAAAATTATGTCACTACTCACCTGCAAAAACATACAAAAACCAAAATACGATAGAGTAGATATATAAGAAAGTGTGAATTTAAAATTTAAATATTTTTAAAAAAATGCAAGTAAAACAAACATTTCAAATGACTAATGACTCGGAACTGTTTTGTCTTCTCAATAGATAACATTTTAAAAAGTACAAATACATTAGTAAAATAAGATCAAAAAAAAATATATTAAGAGAAAACTAAGATGTTAAACTTAGAATGTTATGAGGCGTTGCTCTCTATTGATGTGAATTGAAAGAAAGAAACTAATATAACTTTAATGGTAAAGGGTTGATTGGCACCATAACAAAATTGAGCATGTAAAAGCGCAATTGGTGGCGAATTAATCAAAGTGGTTGATAGATTAGTGCTCCCTGACAATACTTTGAAATCATTATTCTTACGAATTGAAATAAGTATGGTGGGGCCACAATGACCTTTACCTAATGCAAAGTTATGTGGTTGGAGCTTAAAAATAGTGCCACTGAGCTTATCCAATCCATTTTAGACAGGGACACAAGGTTTAGTTTCTTCTTATGCACTAAACTTTGATTAAATGAACCACAATAATGCTATCACTAACAATACGTTTTTAAGCCATTGGTTTTGGTTTTACCTTTTCTTTTAAGTAATACAAACTTTTAACTTAATATGTTTGACTTTTTAAATCCTTTTTACTTTATTTTTTGTTTATATTTCAATTGAGAAAAAAGAGTAAACAACAATGTTGAATGTGTTATATAGCTGTTGATGTCATGTTTATTTGTGATAGATAAGTTTTTTTTTTTCCTTATTAAAAATAGTATAAATAGGTGAGGATGTAGGGTTTAATTTTGAATTGCACTTGCGTATATACGAGATTATAGGTTTTATTATTTGTATCCTTTGGTAATAGTAACGGTTGTTAGATGTGGAACCTTTATACTAGCATTGTTTTTGCTTACCACTACTTCACTATTTAATTAGTTAAGATATATGTTAGTTAATACTACATATGAATACTAAAAATAAAATATTATGGTGAGTAACCTTTGATTCAATAAATAAATAAATGTTTATATTATTAGGTTAATTTTTTTTTGCCACTATCTATGATTTATTGTAATTTTATTTTAAAAGTTTATAACTCACTGTGTTGAGATATAACTTTGTAATGAAAGTTTGCAACTAAAATTGGTGTTGAATTGTAATTTTTGATCTGAAAGTTTATAAATAATTGTGTGTTAAGTTTAGAGTTTGTTGAAAGATTTGTTATGCAAGTTATGCGTATGATTTAACTTTGTTAAAGCTTTTCTTATATATAACTGTTGCGGTGAGAATCAGATATCAAATTATTGTATTAACTTGAATCACAACTCTTTGAAAGTTCACCACCGAATTTTAATTTATCAAAAGGAAAGAAAAAAAATCGAATAAAATTCTATTTGTGTAATGTAACAACAATGCAAAGAGATCTAAATATTCGGTGGTTGGTTATATTAAGGGAAGATATTAGCGCCATAAATATTTATAGTACTCTATAGGAACCTCTTGTTGTATTTGTGTTATGTTATTGTTCGTTTGTTAATGTATGGGAATGTTCTATAGGAAGAGACCTAAAGGTTTATTGCTAGTTTACTCTCCAAAACTTCGCGGTCTTGTGCCTACGTATTCTAACAAGGATGGAATTAGAGCAATCATAGTTCACCTAAACAAGGGTGAGGAACACTTGATAGTGATCAAAGTTCAAAGGGGAAGATAAATGTTCATAACAATAACACTTACATATAATCTACAACTCTATCCTAAGGTTAAGTTGAAAAGTTGGTGACTCTAATATGGTCAAAAGGGGAAGGTTGAGGTAAGACTAAGTTACCTATGACATAAAGTCAATGAATGAACCTTTCCTTTGGATTTAGAAACGAAAGAGAATAAAGAAGGATAAAGGCTAATAACCTAACATCACTTAGGGGTATCTTGACAAAGTTAAAGTAAGCATAAACAAGATGAGTGAATATGGATGAGATGAACAAAGATGATATTCAAACATGATATCAATTGAAGGTAACATTCAAACGTGATATTAATCAAGGTATCATACATGTGACATGGTTCTAACAAGACCAAAACATTCATGGATGAAAACAAGGATTCAAATGTTCAACTAAGACAAGCAAATATTAGGGTTTACTAACACCACTTAATCATGAATACAAGACAAAACATGGGTAAGTCACAACAATACTTAAACATGGTATCATTAAAAGTTCAAGGCAAACATGTATAAGTCATAACAATACTTAAACATGGATTAGATTCAAAGTTCAAGCAAGACATGTATAAGTCAAAGCATTACTTAAACATGGATAAGGTTCAAAGTTCAAACAAGACATTATAAGTCAAAACATTACTTAACCATGAATAAGGTTCAAAGTTCAAACAAGACATGTATAAGTCAAAACATTACTTAAACATGAATAACAACTCAAAGTTCATACAAGCATGAATAAGTCAAGACATTACTTAAACATTAATAACAATTCAAAGTTCATACAAGCATAAGTCAAGAAATTACTTAAACATCAATAACAAGTTTGAGCATGACTCAATACATAGGTAACAACCTAGACTACATGTGAAGATTTAAAGTGATCATATTCAAGGATTAAAATACCACAAGGATTTGGTCATGGAAAACATACAAGTTATGAATCATGTAAAGGTATGTCATTAAAGTTAAGGCCATTTATGAACACATGAGAAAAAGTGGACTAGCACAAGAATTTACATACATACAAGTGTTCAATGAGGTATGAAAGAATTGACAAATATCATGGCAAGTGTCATGTAGAAAACTTTACAATTATACATGGAAAACAAGTTCATTTATTCATGAAAATAATGCATTCAAGTATCTTAAACTTAGGAAAAATTCAAAGTAACATGCTAATAACATTGTACAAAGTTCAAACATAGTATACTATATTCACACATGTCAACATGGCCAAGAGAATTCAAAGAATAAGGTAAAGAAGTCAACTAAGGGACCTAAAAAACCCTAAAAGAGGTGCCTACTTTAACTAAGCAAGAGTGTGTGAAAAATATATATTTTGTGAAATTTTAAAATGCAATAA